CCCTAAGCCCTAAAACCCCAAACTTTCACAAGGCATGGTCATGAATCAAGGCGCCCGAGGGCTCCCAAGGCCTTCCAAGCCTAAAACAGACTAGAAACCTTGAAGCACTCACTACCTATAACTATAGTCTCCATTGTAGTTCCTTTTTTTGGTTTATATAACCAAATCCATATTAAGGATCCTAAAAGGTAACCCCAAAAAGGAACTACAATGGAGACTATAGGTACAATCCGAAACCCCTAGGGTTACGCCCTAGAGCCCTGGTAGAACCCTTACACAGCAGACCTTCAAGCAGATCCCTGAAAGCCAGAATTCAACCCCTCGACCCTTACACCAGAAGCCCAGAAACCCCTTTAAGGATTAGGTTGTGGAAGTACTAGAAAGGTATTATTGGGTATATACACGTCTGCTAGAATGTGCCTTTTTAAGGAAGCCAGAAACCCTAAACCCTAAACCCTAAGCCCTAAACCCTAAACCCTGAACCCTAAGCCCTAAACCCTAAACCCATAAAAGGAGAGCCCCAAAGCCCCCCGGTCCGTCTCTCCCAGGGTGTTACTCCCGGGCCATCCTGGCACCTCAGTCTCGGGCCCAGCAGCGAAAGTCGCTGAACATGGCGTCGGGGCTGGAGCAAGTCGAACATGGTTCCTTGAAGGGCTTCCCTTTAGAGGGCTTAGGGTTTAAGGTTTCGGGGGTTTAGGGTTTAGGGCTTGGGGCTTAGGGTTTAGGGCTCAGGGTTTGAAGGTGTGGAACAGGGTTCCTTGAAGGGGTTCCCTTTGGAGGGTTAGTGTAAGGGTTCCAGGGTTTAGCATAGGCCCCTTCGTAGCTAGGATTGGGCTTGGGAGAGGTGCGATGGTATTCTTCTTAAAGGGCTCGATGAAGTTTCTTTTCTTCAAGAGTTTTCATTCAGGATTGCAGACGGATTCGTTAGGGTTAACGGCTTCTGCATGGGTTCTGTGTAAGGCCCCGATGAGGGTTTTAAAGGGGTGTTAGGGGTTTGATGGCTCGGGACCTCATTGTCGCTCTCAACACGTGCTCTCCTCTCCGCTCCAAACCCTCAACTGGCCTAAATTCGGCATAGATTTAGCGTTGTAAACCTCCGACATGAACCCTTTACTCGAAACCCCAAACCCTAAACCCTAAACCCAAAACCCCTAAACCCAAAACCACTAAACCCTAAACCCTAAACCTTAAACCCTAAACACCCGAGCCGTTCTCCCTTCGTCCTTCGCCGTCCTCCCCAGAGGCTCCGGCACTTTGCGGACGCAGCGGCGCTCGCTGCGCGCGAGCGCGCTGAGGAGCAGCTCGCCCGCAAGCGACTCGCATGGCTGCCTTGTGGTGAGAAGCCCTCTTTACAGCTGTAACTATACCAAAAAAGGGCCCCCAAAAGGGTGTATTATTATACTATAACTTTAATAAGAAGCCCCGAAAAGGGTGTATTCTACGAAAATCTATAATAAGGGGCCCCCAAGAAGGATATATTATATAGCTCCGAGCGCCTAAGCCTAAGCCCTGAAATTTCAGAAGAAGCGCTACGGTAAAGCCCTAAAAGCATCGGGGGCTGCCTTTAGGACAGGTTGTAGAGTAACCATAGTAACCAACGTGAGCCGCTCAACCTGATACCCTAAATCTCCATGGAGCTCGCAGCATGCGAGGCTACCCGAGCGCGCTCGGAACAAGGGCATAAGCAGCTTGTTTGCAATGGAGTGGCTGAATGCCCGGGTGCGAGCCGTCATTGACCCGCTGCTCTGTTTGGGCATGTGTCTGCTGGATGGAAAACCTTCTGCTGGAAAGAGGCTGCTTCCTTGCCGTCTACTGATTTAGTTTTGGATGGCAGGTTGGAGATATTGTTACCCTTGTTGTTAGTTCCAGTGAAATCCCAATTGTGTCCGTGAGCACAAAATGCCCCGATACTTCACAAGCAGCAGGCCAAAATACAAGTCCCCCAAGCCAGCAACAAGAAAGGCTACTGTGCAAAGTTTGGATCTTCTTGCAAGCGGGAAACCCTGAACCCAAAACCCAAAACCCCAAACCCCAAAACCCTAGACCCTAAGGCCCTAAACCCTGAACCCAAGGCCCTAAACCCTAAACCCCAAACCCTAAACCCTGAACCCAAGGCCCTAAACCCTAAACCCCAAACCCTAAACCCTGAACCCAAGGCCCTAAAACCCTGAGCGGACCTTTTCGTAGCAGCCCGCCGGTGCCTCGGGGGCTCGGGCTCCTCCGTTCCGAGGCTCCGCCGACCCTTCGCCAGGCCAAGTGGTGGAGCTTTTTGGGACCGAGGTGGGGTGGGTTTAGGGCTTTAGGGTTTTAGGGTTTGGGGTTTAGGGTTTAGGGTGGGGTGCTCTCTTTATTTGGGGGTTACAGGGTATATTAGGCCCCTAAACCCTAGGCCCTCAAGTGCTTTCAAAGGGTTTTTTGAGGATTATTGCCAATGAAGCGGAAGGTGGCAGGGACGACTCCGTTTGCAAAAGTGGGTCAGCTCTGAGTTGCTCTTGGTCTTAGCAATCATGCTACTCTAGCGGCCGTTTAATAGTTACCTATGAAAACGTAGCAACGGCGCACCCCTATCCCAAGCCCAAAACACAGCAGTGCCCAAACCCTGAACCACGGGCTTCCCAAACCCCTAGCCCGACACCTAAACCCGGCTCTCAAAGGCCCAAGCCCTAAACCGGCCCTAAACCGGCCCCAAACGCTAACCCTGAACCCCTAAAACCGCTGAACCCCTACACCCCCAAACTCTCAACCTCTAAACCCCTATCAAACCCCTAAACCCCCACCCTAAACTCCCTAAACCCCCTAAGCCCTGACCCCCGAACCCCAAAAGCCCTGGTTAGAGGATGTGGAGTCCTTCCCACGGCTGCAAAAACCTTTTGTGGACAGGACCGGCCGGACCTCCTCGAAGCGCATAGGATTTAGGGTTCAGGGGTTAGGGTTGGGCTGTGATGGGGTCAAAGACGGCAAACACGAGGGCTCTCTTTCCGGCGTATAGGAGCGCTTTTTGCGAGGCATTCCAGAAAGTCCCTGCATCCCGACCATCGCGACTCGTGACGTTGTAACGTTTGTGTGTGTGTGTGTTTGCGTGTGATTGTGTGTGTGTATGTATGTATGTATGTATGTATGTATGTATGTATGTATGTATGTATGTATACATGTATAATATCTGTTTGTGTGTGTGTGTGTATGTGTTTTGTTGGGCCTCTGGTCGCAGCACTGAGTTCACTAACACTGTACGTAGACTCTCCTAAAACGTGTATACCAAACCCTAAGGGCCCATACGGAGCCCGTCCAACATGGTGGCAAAATACTTCCAAACATTTCGCAGACCCTGTTAATCCTAAAAATATGAATATCCTCTTACACCCCGACGGAACCGTTGCAGGATCTGGCTGTCCGCAAAAGCTGGAAACGGTGGAAGCCCAGCACCCAATGCGCCTCGGTTGTTTAAGGGTTTGGTTTTTGTGAGTTTGGATTCAGCGGCTTCAGGATTTATGGATTTAGTGCTCGCGGGGCCCTACACCCTAAACCCTAAACCCCACGGTTTATTTGGGGGGTGGGGGTTATGGTGGTCAAAGCTTTCTGCTTCGCCTGTCCTTCTTCTCACTGTCAGCTGGAGCATCCTTCAACCAGGAACTCGGAACCCTTAAACCCTAACATCCTTAAACCAATCCTAGATCCTACTTACTTAAACCCGAGACCCTACACCCTAAACCGCCCCCTAAACCCTAAACCCCTAAACCCGATACCTGAAACCCTAACCTTAAGTTCCTAAACCCCAATTCCCTTCTAAAACCCCAAGTCCCCTCTAAACCCCAAGTCCCCCTCTCCACCCTGGACCCTAAACCCTAAACCCTAAACCCTATAAACCCTAAACCCTAAACCCTATAAGCCCTAAACCCTAGACCCTAGATCCTAAACCCTAAACCAAAAACCCCCTAAACCCTAAACCCTATCAACCCTAAACCCCATAAACCCTAAACCCTAAACCTGGACCCCTTACAGAGGCGAACCGAAGGCCGCACCTACCCACCGGACCTGGCTATGGTGGCCACGGCGGCAACGTGATTCTGAAGGCGAACTTGAGGGCTTAGGGTTTAAGGGTTTCGGGGGTTTTAGGGGGTTTCCGGTTTAGGGTTTAAGGGTTTCGGGGGTTTAGGGGGTTGAGGGTGAAAGGGTTTAGGGGCTTAGGGTTTAGGGTGCAAGGGTTTACGGGGTTTAGGGTTTAGGGGGCTTAGGGTTTATAGGGTTTAGGCTTCAGGGGGTTGCAGGGTTCAGGGCTCAGAGATTAAGGTGTAGGATGTAGGTGGTCTGTTTGATAATTTCAGAGGTCTTAGGCTGAGGACATCGGGGTGGTTCCGAGGTGGGTGGCGGGCTGGCTTGATCCCACGAATCACAAAAAAACCAAACCCCAAGCAGGTACTCTGTGTAATTACAGACCTGCCAGTCCTTCGAACCCACGGTGCTCATCTCACTCTCGACCCGATGCAGTATTGATCCTAAAGCCTTAGCCCTACCTATAGGCTCCATTGTAGTTCCTTTTTGTGGTTCATATTTAGGACCCTATAAGGTAATCCCAGAAAGGAACTACCATGGAGCCTATGGGTATAGATCTGGCAGGCGACGACCCAGATCGAAAGCTTTCTGGAGGCTTTGCCGCAGAAGTTGGCAGCAGCGCCGTCGGGGCAGTCGGACTCAGCTCTACCCACCGATTGCAAGACCCCTTTCAATTGAGGATATACTTAGTCGCTAGATATCTACTTAGGAGCTTTCTTAAGGCACCTTTGAAACTTTGTAGCGAGGTGAAATTGAACGCCATAAGCCCCTACATAACCCTAAACCCTAAGCCCTAAACCCTAAACCCTAGCCCTAGCAGCTCTTGAACCTCGAGAGCCCCATGAGTCCATTGATATGAACTCCTTTCATACGTCCCTGGCAACACCTTGCAACACTTGGTTGTGAAATCTCGTATACATCCCATGCCAAGCCGTGTAAAGCCCCAAAGAGCCACTAAAGAAGGGACCGAAACTTTAGATCCTAAACCCGTACTTCACGCACCTGTTTTCCCTCTTCTCTGGAAAGCATTCAATGACCCTAAACCCTAAACCCAATGAGGATGTGCCCGAGAAGATCAACGCGGAACACGGCGGAGACGGACCCGCGGCCGCCCTTCGAAGGGCTGGTTCTCATGTCAATGTGGGTCGTTCTCTAAATTAGGGTCCCCTTTTAGGGCCCTTGTTATAAGGGTGCCGTGCTATATTGGGGACCCAAAAAAGGGACCGGAATTTAGAGAACTACCCATGTGGCTCAAAGGGGTTACTGTAAGGGTCTCTTGTAATTGGGGGCTTTCAGACCTATGAATTGGGGATTGGGGCCTTAAACCCTAAACCCTAAACCCTAAACCGTTACATATCGGGGCGACAGGTTTTGGGAAGTCAGGCGCTTCAGGTTTAGCCCAACCCGAAAATGTGCTGTTGGGTTTAGGGGTTTAGGGTTTAGGGGCTTAGGGGTTTAGGGTTTAGGGTTTAGGGGCTTAGGGGCTTAGGGTTTTAGGGTTAAGGGTCTTAGGGTTTAGGGTTTTAGGGTTTAGGGTTTAGGGGCTTAGGGTTTAGGGGCTTAGGGTTTCGGGTTAAGGCACGATGCTCCCAGGACACGACTCGTCGCGCGGGAAGTCAGGGAAGGACTACGTGCTCCAGGTGCCTTGAAGCCTTGTTGTCTAGGATATTTTCAGGTGGGTAGTGGCCGTTATAGGAGCCTATTGTAGAAGGTCTATATACCTATAGAAGCCTTATAGAAGCCCTATATACCCTAAATTCCCCACCTGTAGTTTCCTTTAATGTTGTTCTGTACCCAGTAGTACAGAAGCGGGGGCGATCGCCAATACTACGCTTTCTATGCCTTCAGGTTCCTGGTTGTAGTAGTACAAGATATTATAACCCACAGCCCCAATTCTAAGAAGAACAGGGCCGCTAGATATTACCCTAAACCCTAAACCCTAAATCCTAAACCCTAAACCCTCAACGATTCAGCAGCAATATGCAGCTCAAATCACCTAAATCGCATAGCAGGAGGCCTTCTCCAACCCAGCCCACCTTCCCGTAACTCTCTGTACCTGCAGTTTACCAGCCCTTACCCCCTTAATTAGCAGGGTAGAAAGACGTAGGAAAATTAGAGTCCCAGGTTCACCTTATGCCCGAAAGCCCAAGAACCCTAAACACTAAACCCCTAAACCCTAAACCCTAAGCCCGAAAGCCCAAGAACCCTTAAACCCTAAACCAAAAACCCTAAACCCTAAACCCTAAAACCCTAGCCCTAAACCCCAAAACCCTAAACCCCAAAGCCCTAAAGCCCAAGAACTTAAACCCTAGACCCATGGAGACCCAGGCCCCTTAAGACCTACAGCTTGAACCCCTGAGCCCTTACCTGTAGCCGATTTAGGGTTTAAGGTTTAGGGTGTAGGGTTTAGGGGCTTGGGGTTTTAGGGTTTTAGGGTTTAAGGGTTTAGGGTTCAAGGTTTAGGGTGTAGGGTTTAGGGTTTAGGTTTTAGGGTTTAGGGCCTGAGCCCTTACCTGTGTAGCTGGAAAGACCTACCTTTTTAAGGACCTATATATAGAAGCCATAGTAAGGAACCCTAAAAAGGTAGGTCTTTCCGGCTACAGGTAGCCCCTAAGTAACTTCATCTGGGGGGATCCCCCAAAAAAAGGGTCCCAAATTTAGAGAACCCTACTACACCAAAGCCGAAACCTCAACTTCCTGAATTCCTGGCACAGGTGCCTCTGGGGACGATCATCCGAGAAACTTGGCCAAAAAACTATCGCTACGCTGCCGGTCCAAGTGCCTTAAACCCCGTGCCCAAACCTAAACCTGAACCCCTAAAGGAGCCCGGAAAGGAATCCGTATGATCCCAGAAAAAAACGCTGAAGACCATATACTCCCAGCACATGACAAGCCCCACAGCTTCGACATACATGGGTTGGTTGGGTTTATTGTTTAGGGAGTGCTCCAAACGCTCAACCTGAACCCAACAGACCCCTAAGCCCCTAAGCCATAAACCCCTGCAACACAAGTAGTTTCACTGTTTCAACAGCTTACACAGTGGTTGCATGAGACAAGGAGCGGGTCTTCAGTGGCGAGCGCACGCCCGAAGGCCACTGGGTGATATCGTGGCGGATGTATCAGATTACAGCTGAGAGGTTCAGAGGTTGTGGGGCTCAGGGGTTTAAGGCTTTGGAGTTTATTCCTTGACTGAGTTTAGGGTGTTGAGCTTAGTATTTTAGAGTTTAGACTGAAGGTTTAAGGATTTCGGGGGTGCAGGGTGTCAAGGGATTTCTGAGAACGGATCAGCATGGTTTCGGCAGTGAAGGTCGCCGCATCTTTCTTCCGCAGTTCCGGTACCAGCACCTGGGCGACAGAGACGGTTTCCGGGTTTAGGCGATCGGCATCTTCGCAGTTTGGTTTGGCCTGGCCACTGCCGCTGCATGTTCAGAGACCAAAGTGTCGCGAGGTTTGACAAGAAGAATCTAGCATTGTTTAGTTGTGCGTGGCTACATATCTATACCCGGAAGGCTGCCGTCAGTTATAGCCACGCCCCACATGATTAGTTGGCAGACAACAGCAGGCATTGTGAAAGCAGTTGCGATGCGTTGCCCCCACACCCGTGTTACCAACACAGAAACAACACTCCAGACCAGTGGAGCTAACGAAGGACAAAAATTTGCTTCCGTTCATTCATGGTATCCAGGCCAGGCTGCACAACCCGGACGCAGGTGTAAGTTGTTTATAAAAAAAGACTCGTTCTATCAAGAATCTGACTTATTCTGGGTTGATAGTGACGCAGACCACGCTTGAGTCTTCAGTCGGCAACCAGACATCCCTCCCGGCTATAGTATAATAATAAGAACATGGACCTTCCTGATTCCAGGTTCCTGCGCCACGAAGACACCTTCATCGTGGCGAGAGGGGGCACAGGCTGCACTCTGGAGCCTAAACCCCTAAGCCCTAAACCCGGAGCGTTCAACCGTTCGTGCTGTATTGGGGTCTTGAGTGCTTCTAGGAACCATCCTGGACGAAACAAGCCTCCTCAGGACCAGAAACTCCAAGCATGCTGGATCAACAACGAAGATCCCTGAACCCTTACAGGAACTCTCCTCAAACCCTTACGTCCGAAATGCGTACACGGATGCCTCGACCGTGAAGCACCTGGGATCTCCTTACACTACTACCCGTAGCGTTAGCTAACAGTAACCCTAAACCCTAAACCCTAAACTCTAAACCCTAAACCCTAAACCCTACCAAAAGTGGTGGGATCCTCAACATGGAGGGGCCTGACATTCAAGCAAGGGATCTTCCTGAAATTATTCCGTAGGTTAAGGGTTTAAGGTTTAGGGTTTCCTGAAGTTGTTCCGAAAGTTGTAGTCAGTTGGATATGTTGAAACGGGACGACGAATGTAGAAATCGACTCCCAATGTATAGCTGAGAATTTTTTGGGCGCCTTGAAAAAGGCTTATTCCCTGATTTATCGTATGGATCCGTCAGATGGCCCCAAGACTAAACCCCAAACCCAAACCCCAAACCGACCCCTAAGCCCTATAGACCCTAGATACTGAGTCCTACAGAACCCGTATAACCCCCTGCAAGGCCCTAAACCACGGCAGGTGGCGTTGGACCCAAGTCGTTCAAGAAGGGCGACAGCCGGCGTCCGACCCACGGTCAGAGGCCGGAAGTGAAGCCAATTTAGTGGGGTTTTCGGGTTTAGGCTTTGGGGTTTAGAGTTTTGGGGCTTAGCGTGTCTAAGGTTCTCGAAGGTGCTGAAAAGGTTCTAGAAGGGTGTCTAAGAGGGTTCTAGACCGGTTCTGTAAGGATTCTATATGGATTCCAGACAGATTTTGGAAGGGTTGTATAATATGTAGATAAACTGTAAGACTTTTAAAATGCGTTGTAGACCGCTCAAAAGGCTTCCATAGCCTTGGGGGCTTCTGGTCTAGAGGTCGCAGGCATTTTGTAAGAGTCGACCCTGGGAGTACCAGTTCTAGCAGGGTGGTATAGCAGGCCCTAAACCCTGAGCCCTACACCCGAAGACCCAAAGCCCTAAACCCTATAAGCCCTAAACCTTGAGCCCTAAAACCCTAAACCCTAAAACCCTAAACTCTAAGCCCTAAACCCGAAAACCCTAAACCCTAAACCCTACAAGACTTTCCCAGAAGCCTCGACATGTTAAGCAAGACCATTCCTGAAGGGTTTTCCCTTGAATGCCTGGGAGTCTCGAGGTCGGTATACCCTTAAAGGTCCCTAGGGTGGATGAGATAAATTAGGCTCCCCTTTTGGGGTCCTAGGGTTGAGGGTCCTAGGGTTTAGGATTTAGGGTTTAGGGTGTTTAGGGTCCTTAGTCCTGCATTGCCCATAAGAAGGAATATACCAGAATTCCCATAGTTTAGGGTCCTTAAGGTAATGCTAAGGATATGGATCATCGACAGCATGTAGTTATGGTGCTATAGGAATCTGTAACGATCCCAGCTGCTGTAGGAGGGATAACCTAAACGGGATCCTAATTTTAGGGAACTACCCATGTTTTCTGCCATGTATGGAGGCACTCAGGGCCAGGGAATGAGTATAGTTCTGGGTCCCACTCTGCACCTTGGCTGCGTGCCGAAGCTTGCATTACAGTGGCAATCGCACTTGGGCTTATAACAGGCTCTCAGAGGCCTCGGAGGTCTTTCTCATTTTTCCAGCGTTGGGCCATTTAGGGTTTAGGGTTTTAGAGTTTAGGGAGTTTAGGGTTTAGGGTTTAGGGAGTTTAGGGTTTAGGCTTTAGCCACCCTACAGAAGCGTCTCCGGGAATGGAGAAGATCAGCTTTCTTTGACGGAGCCACGCGCTGCCAGTGGTCATACTGTGGCCCATGCAGCAATGCATCCGCTGAGCCGCTGCTTGGGAAGAGGGAGCTTGACAGGAGCAGACTTCGTCGGAAGCTTTGTAGCGTGGACACCACGCCCAAGTCGCCCAAGTCAAGCCTGAACCCTAAGCCTCCAGCCCCCTGAGGTTCCAAATTTTTGGACTCTGTGAATCTGTGAAGCTTTAATTTGCCGGAAATCCCCAAGCCGGCCTGTTTTTGGACCGTGGCTTTCGTCCCTGCGTTCCAAAAGCCAGGGCACGTTTGGAGCTTGAGCTGCGTCTTATGAACGACGCCACCTTGGCAGGGGCCCAAGGACGGTTCAGCATCCCACCTCCTGTGACTACGACAGCGACTGCTACTGATACTGCTACAACTGCAACTGCAACTGCAACTGCAACAACAACAACAACAACTACAACTACAACTACAACAACTACAACTACAACTACAACTACAACAACTACAACTACAACAACAACTACAACAACAACAACAACTACTACTACTACTACTACTACTACTACTACTACTACGACCACTACCACTACGACGACGACTACTACTACCACTACCACTACCACTACCACTACCACTAC